GACACAGATAGTTCTGTCAAGGTGCATGTGAGCGAGCGGACCAGCGTGAAAATGTTCCACTCACTCACAGACCTGCAATTTGCGCCGCTCCCGCCTGGTTCTGCGCATTTCTCGCTGCCGCTCCATCATAAAGTTTTTCCCGTCCACTCCTCTCCACTCCTTCAAAAAAAACCCCCTTCTTATATTCACAAATAAAACATGAGCTTTGCCGTTTTCCATTTAAAAAATACCATAACCAACATCAACTAAGACAACTAAATGTTTTGTTTTTAAGCCGGACAAAACAGTGGACCACAGATATAATTTAAAATGTTTTGTATTCTTGTTTTGTTCCACATTATCTCCATAACTTTTATTTTACTGGAAATTAGTACACTTCTCATTGTTTTCTGAAGTACACTTAAACTCCAGTAGTTTTGAAATAAAAGTTAGTTGTGAAGTGTGCCGCAGGTGCAAGATGCATCTTGGTTTAGAAAAGGATAATGTTTGCTTTCATCACGAGTTGCAGCCCAATCAGACACTAAACAATCACCTTTAAACTCCCTTTTCACAGTGCTTGCAGGTCTAATTGTTTTTCATTTAACATGCAGCTCAACAAGGGAGGGGATGCTGTGTGCTTACTGACGAGACCTCCACTGTAATCAAAGCGGTGCTGAACATTTGTAATCCAACCTTCTTGTCTGACAATGAAAAACTGGAATCTTACCACCACAATATGTACTCATCCCGTCAACTGAACAGTTGATTAGTAATCAGGCTGTTTCCAACTCCTTCCTCGATATAAATCTGTAATATCCGAGGAACAGAAAATAGCAATATATATTAGATACTATGTTTCAACTTGTCCCAAGCAAGTTTGTTTTTAAATATTTTGTCTCTTCTTTATTATAACATGTGTATTATTTATTACATTATTAGTATTACTTATTTTTTTTATTTTATAATGTTGCCTTTTTCCTATCCATACTATGAGTTGACAAATAAAGTGGTTGTTTTTTAAACAAAACGTTTTCCAGTGTAGGTTTAGCTTTAAATTTAGTAAACACGATCGATCGTGTT